GTTGGGAACTAACTTGAAAAATTCGCCACAACTTCGTCAATTTGAAGATGTTTAGGAATTTCGCTCTGGAGGTAGAGCAAAACATGATCTTCCTCCTGTTGTTTGTTGCAGCTTTGCGTTGCGTCTGGTTAGGGAGTTGCGAATTTTTAAGTCCTCCCATGTTTTACAGAACGAGTTTGGTCGGTTGGTACCCAAACTAAGTCGAAAAATTTGCTGATCTGTTTTGATCTTTCTTCAGTTCAAACAAATACATCCAGTAGGGTTACAGTGCTTTAAAAAGCACGTGAAGGAGAAAATAAAAGTTTGACTGGAAGAACTTTAACTCAAAGGGACAACATTTAGGAAAATAGGCGAATTTCTCTCCATTCGATCTGCAAATTCGGCAACATTCACTCTCTACAACGCAACTCCATAGGAAGTTCAATTTAATTAAAAACTCCATCGATAACAGTCAAGAACTAGAGTTCATTATACGGCAGAGTCCATTGGGGCATGTATTTTACAAGCCGTTTAGCCGGACATTGGATCATTATGTGCATAAACCCAAGCTCAATATAGGTGGAATTGCCACATAATTTGAATATGCAATTAAGATATCGATAGCGGGTTCAACTGGCAGAATTCCTAATCGAAAAACTTTTGAGTCAATCATCATCCCGCCAAAGCTGAGAATTGCGTCAATATCCAAAGGACTTTGAGTGCTTAATGGTAGGAAATATTCTTAGAATGATGAAAATTGACCCTTAAAACTACACCATTAAAATGCACTTTGCTGATATTTATTAAATCGAGCAAGCAACAACTCGACGCTCTGAGTAAACAAGGTTTGCCTCATATGGCTGACATTCTAGGAAACACTTCGTCCACTTTGTCACTTACATTCATTAGAAATGCAAGCTCAAATACACGGTTCAGCGCATGTTTTTTTTTAGATATATTCGGTTACAGTAGGGTTTTATTCTTGGTCTGTATTCATAAGACTTAAGCTTTGATTGGAGTCAGATTTTAATATAAAATAGAGAAGGTGGACAAATCAATYGGTTAAAGCGAGAACGGTTCTGAAACAATAAGGGMATTTCTCTCAAACACCCGTGTGTGCGAGTGAGAAATCGATGAATCACTAGCAGCGCCTGTTCTAGGCAACGTTTGGTGAACTAAACTTCTATCTTTGTCTGCCTAAGTTATTCCATCGCCTTCTTTATTCCACCTACTGTTAAAACGTTTTTTGGTCGTTTCCTCAATTTTTGGCTCTTTTGAGCTTTCTATCGTCGTTTACCCATTTTAATTTCATTGGAGGTTTTTACACTCACTACCAAATTGGTTTTTGGTGCTTGTAGGGGTTTGCTTGCTCTGTTTTTTCAGATTCGCATTTATGAGCGGCAGCCCAGAATTAAACAACATAAAAGTCGAATAAGAATTTAGTTCGGTGGTTCGAGTGATGGAATCTTGAGCCGACTGTTTTACGAGCTTGAAAGAATCTTCAGCAGCATAAACGTTTGCAAAACAAGTGCTTTATTGTGTTGTTTGTTGCTGCTCAATTTTACTGTTGCAACCAGTTTTCTGCAGTTAATTTTGTTATTTCTCTAATGGTCAGTTCTTGTCCAGTAGTTTTTAGACTAAATATGACAAAATGCAAACGTTTCCTTTGGTTGATCTTCATTAATCCTGATACGTATAATTCCAACGCTTTGCTTTCGATTTTTTGAGGTGACTGAAGAAGTTTTATTAGGCAAAGTGTGTTTTTGTGATCTTTTCAAAGCAGCAATTCTTAGATGGAAAATCTTGTTAACTTTTAATTATTTTTGTGAAGATCAACTGATTCGAACTTAAGTTATTGTGGACATTGATTTGCCACTGGGAAAAGCAAAAAAGTGTCGAAAAGCACTTTTTTGACCATGAATCTGACGATTTTGCAGTCGATGCAACGCATTCGTTGGCTAGAATGGGTCAGCATTCTGCACAGGTACACATTGAGAATTCGTCGTCTTACGAAAAAATTGGAAACTTCTTGGAAGTTTCCATCTTAYTGAGTTAGGGGGTTCTAAAGTTTCTGAGTTAGGGGGTTTGTGTTGTCTAAAAAATGTGTGAGATCTAAAATACCGGGCAACTTACATTGTAGAGCGGTTGTAGAACCTCGGGGTTAAATCGCTTTCAATAATCCACACTTGGTCGAAACGTACACTTAAAGTCCATATGCAACCAAAAAGGAGCAAAAACAAAAACAACTGAACCCAACACAAGTCAGTCACATTTTCCGGTGAAAACTCTCAACAACGGTTGGGAAACGAGTCCGAAGCACAACTGGCACAAGATTCGGTGAACATAAATGAAGTTCCGCGCGCTCTTTTTTCTCTAATTTGAAAATCTCCGGGTAATTTTGCCAAAAAACAAGGGACGATTTCAACAAATTCCCACTTGAACAAGATACGATTGTCCGCTTTTTAGTGTCTCCGTTCTCTTAGCTCGAAACCATGGCGTTCGATAACTGATCCAAGAGGAGGGCATTTCAGTGGAACCGGAATCGATCGTGTAAGTTCGCGTAACTCCGACTCTACATTCTTTCGGAAGGTTTTTCACATTTGGACGTGGAYGAAAAACAAGAACAGCTGAATCAAGTCGACCGGGAAAGGAAACCTGGTGTGTTTTTCGGTTTGAGTCGAAAAAATGTTTTGTTTTCCTCTAATTAYCGCCTGTTATTGCATGTGTGAACAACGCAGTGGAAGGCCGGATAATTACTTGTTTTCTGCGATAACTTCATAGTTTCTTGGAATACGTTGTCTGGATGTTCTGGTTCAGCCCGAACCTCATCCTCGAACTGAGCCTGAGGAACCTCAGTTTGGAGCAACTCCAGCTTCTTTGCAACAACAACTGAGGGAATTTTGAAAGTGCTTTAGAGGTGAAAGAGGGCTTGCCAGAAGAGCATCAAGGAAGACGCAGAAGGCGAAGCTGGGAAAAGGGCTTTTGGTAACTTTGATAAAGAATCTGATCAGCGAAGAGATGGTTCAATTGAAAATGACTGGGTTTTTTTGTGTGAAATGCAAACAACTGTCGACATTGTCTAACACCATAACGTAAACGATGGAAGTTTTCGGCAACTCGGACCAAAATGTAGCTTTTTCCAAAGAATGTTCCATCTGAAGCCACCAAATGTTGAAACTAGAACACAATGTGAAAAATGGAAGCAGAACTTTGTAARCTGAGAAACTAGTGATTTGATGTTGATGAGAATTGAACAGAACTTTCTTCATTAACCTTTACCCACTCAAGATGGATTGGGCTAAATGGTCATTGGCTAATCGCCCCCGTTTGTCAATGAGAACCAAAAATTCTTCAATATCGGTCCATTCAGCTCGAAATTGCCTTGACTTTCTACTGTACATATTTTTGAAACATTATCCATTGAGCATCTGATAAATTTCTCACAGTCGAAAATTAACATTTTTTATGAATAACTTTCGCTCTTTACATCAAGCAAAGGTTTCTGTTCAATGAGTTTCATTCAAGCTTTGCAACTAAGAAGAAAATGCGAAATTTCATCTTCTGTGTAAGATCGTCTACCTTATCAATAGCTGTATTACGACAGGAAACGGAATTTGTGAGCTAACTAAACTTGGTCGCTCTACAATTTATAGAGCCATTAGAGCCGGAAATACTTTACCATTTCGCAAAACGGAAAAGCGCTGATAAAAACCTGAGCGAAAGGGACAATGTAAAGATGATATACGCACAGTATGGAATGGTTTTTTCAAAGATAAAGTCCCGACGTTTGAAATGATTCGCTTTAAATTGAGGATATTCCTAATTATGAACATAAATCGACCCGCAACGGGTTGAAATATTAAGTAACAGAATCGACAGGATTTATTGCCTTTCTACGATCAGTTTGAGTTTACTTAAAAAATGACAAACTTTAAGCTGGATAAAAGCTTAATTTGAATCCAAAATATTCGAGCTTGAAGCGAACACTTGAAGATTTCTAGATGGTTTTCAGATGAAAACGTTGGCGAGAATCGACTTTGCCACATCCTTCTTCAAAGAAGCCGAGGTTCTATGAGTACTTACTTATATTTTTCAATTTTGTTTTGAAATAAGGTTTTTTGTTTGTAAATTGTATTTTACCATCCAGACAAAGTGTCGACTGGAAACTTTTGCAGAGGGACACTAATGAGTGAGAGTGTTTCTAGAAGAAAATTTGAGCAAATGCGCTTAGAACCTTATTTTTGAGAAACTGCCAAAACTGAACATCAAAGGCAATCAACTTGCAACGCGTTATAAAAAAAATTGTAGCTTATTACCCAGACAAAGTGTCAATTGGAAACTTTTGTACAGTGAAAGCAATGAGTCAAAGTACATCTGCTGTAAAATTCGCGCAAAGAAACCGAGAAACTTATTTTTGAGAAACTGCCAAAGGTGAACATGAAACGCTCACTTGCAACACGTTCTAAAAAAAATTGTAATTTACCACCCAGCCAAATTGTCGACTGGAAACTTTTGCAGAAGGAAAACAATGAGTCAAAGTAGATATGCTGGAAGATTGGAGCAAATAAACCGAGAAATTTATTTTTGAGAAACTACCAAACTTGAACATGAAACG